AAATCTGCTCGTTTCCGGGCAAATCTGGCCTCAGATCTAAATTCAATCTGTCCCACTTTCTCTGCCACTTTATTTACATCTTTTTAATTAGTTTAAGGTGTTAAAATTCGAGAGATCCTCATCGGAAGATCTGTCAGATTTTCATCGTAAACAATAACTAAATATCAAAAAACTCTTGAATGTTAACATAATATAAGAGCTATAAGCAAGAGAAACAAAATAAAATAAAGCCAACAGTAGTGGTCTTTCTCTTTTTTGAATGCTAATTTGAGACCTTGATAGGAATGGAATTCTAGATGCCCTGTTGTGGCACCCCGCCACCTAGGCCTAGAGGCCATTACTGGCAACAATGATGGTCTTGGATGTCAAAAACTTTGAAATATTAAGTAAATGGTGGACATTGACACATAAAGTGGTATGGAGTTATTCCAAATTGGTCATTGAATTCACAGAAAAAGTAGTACCTCCTTCAAGCTCATACAACACTCTAGAGAGACAATCCACAGAACTTGAAGGAATTTGGTCATGAATCCTATTGCCAGGAGCCCAGGATCATAACTCTCCCCATATGCTTAGGAACTGTAACCCACCACAAAGGATTACATGCATCCACCATTGTAATGCCAACTTCTATAGCAACACTAATATTGCCCTGACTTGCCAACATCCCTAAAGAGAGATTGAAACAGCTCCAAGAAAAAATGTCTTGGCACTGTTGGTACAACCAAAATGTAGCGTGGTTCAATGACCTATCTAGAATCCCTTCAGACCATTCCCCATCCCCAGTGACAAGGTCCAATCAGACAGATCATCAACCGCCTCCCTCTTCTAGCCATCTCCCATCCCAAACTTGCAAGTCCTCCACCATCTTTACAAGCCACTAACACCATTTTACATTCTTTAAGCACTCATTTCAAAAATACTATATCTCATTGCTACCATACCTTCATTATATAGGCTAATCCTTCTAAGCACAAAGACAGAACGAACAGAACATTGGGTGTTAAAGACGCAAACGTATTCATTTCATACGTGAAGGGGCTATCATGTACACGAAAACTAAAACCAAGCAACCCATTTTTAAGATAAGGAATGCCTTAGTTCAGCTATATCTACTCGCATGATTTCAGCCCACATGAATAGAAACAATTTTTACCTATAACCTATCTGATGGTTCAAGTCCGACTTCAACTTACCATATCGCCAGGCAAATTTCCAAAACCCGCCAAACATAAAACTGATTGATTGAATCAAGGGCAAACTCTTGAATCCAGGAATGTATGAACAATTACTTTTCATGCCATGAGACAAGTTTAGTATCAACTTGATAACCTCCATTTATGTGAATGTTGACTAAAAAAAGAGACAGATTAAAGCATAAAACATTTTGCAGGATACATGTTCCCTTCGGGTTCCACCTGACAGTATTGTAAGGGCCTGATCCAAGCTCAAATACTGGATTGCACTTCTTGTCAAACAAGGTAATTCTTGCAGGCATGACTAGAAAGAGTCCAGGAATACAAAAAGGACATTTCCCAACTTAAAGGAAAATAATTATACAAAGCCATGAGTTACCATAAAGAATCTAACAATGAAATAAATGACAACGAACAATAGAAGCAGCAAAAGGGAAAAGGGACAAGGATACATCCATAAACTACTACAAATTGAGCACCAGAAGGAGACCATTGAACATCATGAACAGGACCATCTTTACCTGCCATCAATCCCAAATGGTCATAAATTCACAAGCACATGGAAAAAATTTTAAGAGAGCAAAAGGAGAGGAAGGCCCATTGCATGTATTAAAGAAGTACATACGAAGAGGTACAAGTCCTTCATGGCTCCCATCGGTTGTCAAGTAATTCAACTTTGACTCTCCATAATAACTCTGGTTGCTTTTATCCACATCTGATTGTGCCACGATCAAGAGCCCCGTGGAGCCAAAATTCCAATGCAATTGCACTGTGGAGCAACGGAAAAAGCTACGGCGAGCAACAGGCTGTAACGGGTTATCCTTACCACACACGAAGATTTGAACACTGGCGGGAATTCCCTAAAGCAAGAAAAGACTTCAAACAAGGAACCTAACCAAATATCTTTATTCCTTCCCTCTTTATGCAATTTTAACATCAGTATAAGATTGATGAGGAGAAGTAAACCTTTGATTCTGAGACAAATGCAGCAACATGTGAGCCTGGTGTCTTAGAAAGCTCCACCGAAGCTATACCTGGGATTCTAAGCTTATATAAAACTCCTTTGGTGAAATCCTTAGCATCAAAGAACTGTATCTCGTTCGTAGCCATCCGGCAGGCTGTGGCCTCATCAGAACTAAATTGGATGGAAGGCCTAAAAAAACCCAGAGATTCAGATTGTAAACTATCTCATAAACCATGGCCAAATCAGACTAAATTGGATTTAAGGACAAAAAATTACCCCATAAATCCAACACTGATCAAAATCTCACAGAGAGTGATTCCCATTTTCATTTATTCAAAATGTCCTTTCCAACATTAACACTTCCGAATATTTTTTCTGATTTTATCGAGCAGCATATTTTTCTGTTTTTTCTCGTGATTTTTAGTTTGTTAAATTTTAAACATTTCCCTACCTTTTATATTGTTTTTCTTTTATATTTTACTGTTGTGTATCTTCTATTATTGCAAAGCACATTCGCCCATTCTATGAGAGTGCGTTTAGGTCTATCAAAAGCGCAGGGGATCGTAAGACAGAAATGATAACTAACCAAAAAATAATAGTCAGAGAAAGATTATGGAAACTAAGCAGAAAAGTTAGAGAGAGATGGAGAATAACGAAAAGAATAGATGGGGGAGAAATGATAGGGTATATACCAGTTATTCTTCGCCATAGTCTTCTGGAATTGCTGATAAACAGTGGTGGAATTATCGATTTCCCATAGGATGAGGTTCTTTTCCTGGGAGGGCAACGCTTTCTGGAAAGTTTGGAGATAAGTTCCTCTTGGGGAGAGAGAAGCAGCCAGCAAGCCAGGGACCTGGAACGAAGCGATCTCTCGCCCATTTTGAGATTCATAAATAGAGACGACACTGGAGTTATCTTTGATGGCGAGGAGCCTGCTTCCATCTTCACTGAACTTTGAGGACGAGCAGGGTACTCTGCAACAATAACAAGTAGCAACTTTGAGTTCAACACAAAAGGAAAAAAGAGAGAAAATCGAAAGAGAGAGAGAGAGAGAGAGAGTACTGGAGATTGACGCGGGGTTCGCCATTGCTGAAAGGCGGACCGGTCCAGAGAGAGAATCCTTGAGGTTCTCTAACTGTGGAAGAAAAAAAAAACCAATGTTATATAGAAAGAGAGAGACACTGAGTATGCGGTAGAGAGAGAGAATACCCAAGATGTTGAGAGGCGGAGAAGGATCCATTGCTCTCGGTTCAAAGGATTCACCACTACGCCTTTTTCAGAATGGTTAGACTTGAGAGAGAGACGGGGAGAGAGGGTGGGTTGCGACCGAATTTACAGAGGGGGGGCACTTTCCCATGTAATTAAATGAGAATACAAACTTATGGGTGTGTTTGGAAGGATCCCTTGTTTCTGAGTGAGTTGGCTTCTTGAGCACTTTTACAGTTTTACTCGAGAATTAAGGCAAAATAGTTCCTCTCTTTGTTCCAAAATGGTGATTTACAATAAGTGGGCTCCCGAAACTGCGGTTACTCATGAGTACAGTGAAGCAGACTAACTGGCTTAACCACTGTTTTCTTAAAACAAATATCTGGGAATATTTTCTCACCAATCAGTCCCGGTACATTACTTCATATCAATTGGCATATAGTTGGTGTGAAAATATTTTCATACCTAACTAGAGGATTTTTTCACGTGAAATATTTTCATACGAACCAAACGGTGACTGCTGCAGGTATCGAAAAACCCGAAGTCATTTTCTTTTAAAATTATTCCCATGGATTTAAATTTGATCAATAAACTTTTGGTCCAAAAACAATAACAATCTCTTTAACCAAAGTCTAACATCCTAGTACTACTCTTGTCCAAACATGCTTAACGTCAAAATTATGACCAGATCTGTACATAATTACCTCGACTACACCTACAAACTAGTACTTATGTATTGCATGTCAGTTGAGGAAACATCTATTGTTCACTCTTCTGTTCTTACATGGGAAACTAGGTTGGGTAGGGGATCTTTTCCCAATGTGTTTATCAAAAAAACCACCTATGATCAATCTGAGAATGGCCACATATAACACATATGTTTACAATTGACTTTCAAAATGGCAGCATTTTAAGGCAGACAAAAGTTTATATAGGGCTGACACCTTAAAATGTAGAATCAAGGAGGTTCCTCTGAAATCTTTTAGAAAAGGTTGCCTTGATGTTGGAAAATCATCTAATTGATCATCTTGCAATCGAGATGTACATATATAGAAAAAAAGAGATTTCAAGTCTTAAAAATAATAGTACATCTTGCAACAAATTATCTTGACCGCCATTTTCAAGATTTTCATACGTTTATAAATCTACTTGATTTTAACTATTTTTAAAATTTAATATTTTATAACTAAAAATAAAAATAGAATCTCACACCATCTTAAAAAAATTTGACGCGAAAATTGCATCTCATGCTAAAGTTTTGAGCTGCACCTTAATTTTGAGTGTTTAAGGTTGCAACCTTATGCAAACCACACCCAAGAAAAAATGCATATTTTTACTTAAACAATGTACCCAGTTTAATATTTATATATGGTAAAGTATAGAATGAGACCATTTACCTTTTATACAAGGTGGTTACATTAATCTTGACCATTGGATGTGAAATTAAGTGGTTGCAATTATTCCATTGACAAAGTTCAAACTTCAAAAGAAATTTTCTTAAATTTTGTGACACATCCAAACTATCAAATTTCACATCAAATGGTTGTAAAAAATTGTGATCACCTTGTATCAAAAGTAAATGGTCTCATTGTATACAATCGCTTTATATATATATAGTTCTATTAGTAATGGTCCAATACATAATTCTATTAATAATGGTGCAAATTTGAACTTTGATATGCAGGAGTTTCTACTTTTGTTTGTAAGTTATATTTCCCCTTAAAAGATATATCGGGCCCTATGTCCAAGACATTTTTTTGGCTTTTTAAACCTTGGCTTGATGGGCAACTGTACTTCGTCACACAAAAAAAAACTCTCTTCTTCCTCTGTAATCAAGAATTATTTGAATGCCGAAGTCTTTTGCTTTTCCTGGCAAGCAAAGCCTTGAGGTAGCAACAATTAGTGCCTTCCAGGTGAAGTACGTGCAATTTTATATTTGAAAAAAAATTATATAAAATCGCAACTTATATATAGAAGTAAGGTTGTAGCAATCTGCAATAATTTTATATAGATGGTGTAATCACGACATACCCCATTTTAATATTATCTTTAAATATGTATCAAATCTTTACCGTCCAACTAAAATAAATGTAAAATATCACAACCTTAGTTTTATAAACAAGGGTGACAACCTATATAGATCGTACCTTCTAAATTTTTCCCCTCAAAAGGGGAAAAATGCGAAACAAATGTTGCAGCCAGCACATTTGGTCTGTTCTAGATGCCATCACACAGACCATTTAGCTAAGACCACGAGTCCCATGAAAGAAGACCAAACCGGTGTTTTCATTCAGATAAAGACAGCTTCTCTACGCAAAAACTGTTCAAGTTCCTAAGATTTTAAAAGCATACCACACCAGGCTATCATAAGTAACAAATTCTGCAATAAAGAAGAATCTGATGCAGCTAATTCGTCTTACCAAAGATTCTCAAATTTTAATAGAAACAAAGCCGTGCATAGTTCAACAGGAATATTGGTACATGGCATGCCCATCTGTCATTCTTGCTTGCCTTTTATGCAAAGATAGCCCCCAAAAACATAGAATTCCAGGCCACAGACACAAATGCCATGATCACAGATGCAAACCTAGGGCAAAGGAGCCAAAAAACTACGCAAGCTGCTGGCCTTAGGGAAGTCAACCACCTCAGAATTTAAGGTCCTTGGTCCAGGTACCCTGCACACTCGGATGTTTAGTGACATGCCTCGTCCTCAGCTTTATCACCTTCCTTCCCAATGCATTCCTAAGCCTGGTTGCATGCAACAGTATGTCTTCCGGCTTCATGTTCTTTACACACACAACACGCTCATTCTTGTTCTCTATGTAGAAAACACCAAATATTTAGGTCTATGATAGCAAACATATAACAAGATAAGCAAAAGGAAATACAGTGTGTGAAATCTGAAGAAACTTGGAACTCACCCAAAAGGAAAAAGAAAAACTTAGAGGTAAGTGAATTCATCAGAAGGTCGATATCTTACTGTAGAAAGCCTTCAAATGAGGATGCTGGCCGCGGATGAGTTCATTGGCCACCTCTAGCTGGGGGTTCTTATCTATGAATGATGGCAGATGGGACTCCATAAAGGCTCTACATTCCAACATAATCTCAAATTCAGTCCTCAATGGTCTTACAAAGCAAGAAAAACAAGATACATAGAAAAAACATAAATATTTAATATTAAAAGAACCAATTAATGGACATTCAACTTAAATAAGAACTCAAGACAAGCAAATTCAAGCAAATGTTGGAATACCACCTGTCAAAATCCCATTGCCTCCATGTCTGAACTGACATTTGTTATAATTGATTTCGTCAATGGTAATGTTCTCTGGTATACCAAATGGGTATTCTGGCCCACAAATTTACAAAATCTACTATGCTATGCGGGCCTGTGGGCCCTGTAACATAGTTAAAAATCCCAAAGGAAGAGCTAATCTCCAAATTATAGAGAAACTGTCTTCATTCATTCATCTACAACGACTTGGTTTGAATATGTTCAACACAAAGTGCCTAGAATATGGAGACACTAACAAAGGACACAGATGTGTCCCCCAAAATGCTTCCTAAAGGACACAGTGGTTCCAGTGAGAGTCATCATAGCTGTTCCTAATGTTGATTGCATGCAAGTTCAGTTAAAAACCTTGCTGCATTAGAAAATTCAATGGAAGAGGGCCAACTCCGTCTTTAGATCTGCATGAATTCTCCGATACCTATTGCATTTCATGTATGTCAACCATCTCATATTCCTGTTCATCCGAATTTGCATCCAATAATATTATAGTCATCAACAGTCATGCCTTTTGGCATCTCATGTGTCCTTTTTCTTCCATGTCATGTGTCCTATCTTCTATAGAAGAACCAAACCAAGAGCGGAGGAGAAATGCTATGGAAGAGGAATTTGATACCTTTCAGTCAAATCACATACAAGTTATATTTCAACTTCCACCTAGGAAAGTGGCTGTTGAATGGAAATAGTCGGATGACGTGAAGTCAAAAAACCCACTTGGGAGATATAAAGCATAGCATGTAGCTTTTAGGTATACTATGGGATCGACCATGAGAAGAACTTTTCTAGAATTGGCAAAACGTTCATTGTCCATGTCACTGCAGCCTTGCATCATTTTGACAACGAGCCTCAGTACCAAATAAAGGATGTCATGATTATCTTCTTGCATGACCATCTTAGAAATTGTCACATAAAGCCACCAATTAGTACAGTAAGCCTAGGATACATAAAACAAACAATAATTTGGAGGAACAAATTCATAAAGAATCCCTGTATCCATGATGATGCTTATTCCAAAATGAACTGCTCATGTCAGGAAGAGACCAACTGGTTCACTATTTGATTGGCTTCTCCAACCATATGGCAGAAGTGGAAACATGAAAATGAGAAGTTTTCGTTCCAAATAACCCGCAAATTTCCATTAAAGCTCCCAGCTGTCAATATCTTCTCTATTAAATAAATCAATAATGACTTGTCAATTGGACTTGGACCCAAGGGTAAGACCCCAGATTGTGTGGGGATCAAACCCTTGAAGTTTGACCCAAATGCCATACCAAGCTGACCACTGGCACACCCTTTTTTAGATCAACAATGACTTCAAAGTGGATTTATTTGCACAAGTTGATTCTTTTCTAGCATTCCAATGGAAAATACCTTCAAATTTAGTATCATTGTTAACCATTGATGTTGCCTTCATATGATAAGAAATGTCACCTTAAAAAACTGTGACTTTGTCTCAATAAAGAGTAATATTCATCAGTGAATGGTTTAGAAAAAAATAGCATTCATATGATAAGAAGTGTCACCTTAAAAAACTGTGAGTTTGTCTCAATAAAGAGTAATATCCATCAGTGAATGGTTTAGAAAAAAATATTATACACATTGCTTGCAAAGTAGAGGGTACAAGAACTCGCCATCCACCATCAGATCTCATCAAGGAAGGGCAAAGAAGAGCTTCTCATCTGCTTTAAAGTCCTTTAGCAGACTGTTCGTCGACAATGGACAGTGTTTGGCTTTACTGACCTATTGCTATTTTGATATACAAAGAAACTTGGTACCTTGTGAGACACTACTCATATGATGTGCTTCTACACCTCATCCCTGTTTTCAGGTCTCCCTGGAAGAATCTTTAGTTTCTTTCGCTTGATAGTAAGCATAGGAGAGGTAAGTTACATAAAATCTCGACTTGTGTTCCTTCCTCACTTAGTTCTTTTGTCTGCTTTTTTTTTCTTTTTCTTTTTTTAATTTACTTCTTTTCTATTTTGTTCCATAATAAATTTCACTGCAAATTCTAAAATACTTTTATAACTCGCACTGGATCTTGGATCATACCAGGATGTCACCAACGATGCCTAGTGCAAATACAATTCATATAAACTAAATCTCTTTTTTTTTTTACAGTCCTCATTATCTTCTTTAATCATCCAAAAAAAACTAACATGACATTATATTAAGGGAAAACATGTGATTGCAATATAAATCTAAAAAACTTGAAGGGTAAACCTTCAATTGGGAAGATCATAAATTTAAAGTTTTAAACAGATTGTGTATGAATAACAAAGCATTCTTATGACGCAAATATATATACGATTACCATATGAATTATATAAGATGAATTCTTTTGAACATCAGGACAGAATAATCATTTATAAATATATGGCATCATTACCATACCATATAATACAACACAATACTCAGTAAAACCAAGTACGAATAAGATAAGATCAAAAGCGAAAGACTTTAGGAACGCACCTAATGCCGCGACTGCTTCCTCCCCAGTTACAATAGCTTACCACCAACTTTTCCAGTTGCCACACTCCTCTCAGAGCCATTTCTCTACAATCTTATTGCCTCCAAAGTCACTTTTCGTTCGTTCTCATTCAGGAGAAAAAGAAAAGGCAACTTTAAACAAAGAAAATAGAAAAAGATAGCAACTATCAAAATGTAATTGAGAGTTTGTAATACATCAAGCAATCAAGCATTAAGAACAAATAATGTGGGGAAGTTTGAAAATCACAATTAAATGCATGGATTTATGGATCAAAACGAAATGACAGATATTGAGGGAGATGAGATCTAAGATTTGGAGTGCATATAGAGAAAGACAAAGCAGAGAGGAAATAAAATTCTTGGGGATTGTCCATACCTAAAATAGGCTCTAGTGGTTGTTTTGAAATAGAGAGAGGAGAAAGAGAACCTGTTCTAGAGTTGATGGCAGCTTCCCTCTGCTACAGCTTGTAGAGCTCAAATAAACTAGGGAGAGAAAGAGAGAGAGAGGGGGGGATGGGCTTCAGGTGCTCGAATAGGAAAAGAGTGAAGCAAGATTTGGGTCCGCGAATAAGGAGAGAACAAGAGAGACAGAGAGAGAGAGGCTTCTGGGGGATGGCGGTGTTTTTTGGGCAAGATAACTTGGTGGTTGAGCTTCGGCTGGTGAGTGTGAACTTTTATCTGAAATGAAAGTTCATTCCTTTCTCTGTTACACGATATCAATCCAAATAAAATATTAAAAGTAAAATTTAACGTAATAATCAGATTTCATCATAGCATTTTAAACTCATCAAATTTTCAGACTTCAATATTAAGAGCATATTAAACACTCTGCTGAGGCCTTCTCATCGAACGTCATCAAATTTTCAAACTCAAGAATTAATAAATTTTCTGAAATCCCTCGAATAAAAAAAAGTAAATCAAGGCTATATAGTTTTCAAAAATCCCTAAAAAACCAAAAAACAGTAAGCTAGTTAGTTCACCACAATTTGCTACGTAGAAACTGATGATCTCACTGATATTTGCTGAAAACGACCAAGTACATTAAAAGTTCAAAAGTGAAAGTTTCAAGGTATAAAATTCATAACCAAAACGACATGAAATTGACCTGTACGCTTTGGACCAAAGGCTATGGCAAAAAAAATAGAGCTTGGAGCTTCAAATAAATGGCGGATTTGGAATGAGTTTTTGTTCCATAAATTGAAAAAACAACCGGAATCTCTCTCCGTAGAAAGAGGGATTTTCTCTCTTTACTATATGCTTTCGCATGGGTAGGAGCTCAAATTATGCTTCTGCAAAGCACAAAAAACTAGCAAGAAATAAAAAAAAAAAACCGTACCCACATTTTACGACAGAGCATATTGCGCTCTATACTCAATAAAATAACCTAAAAATAAAAAAGCAACAAACTTTCAAAAAATAAAAAAGCAACAAATTGTCATAAGGAAATCATAAAAAAAAAAATGTTTGCATTGGTATAGGGAAAAGTTATGAAAATCACAAGAGTAAAACCCATACCGTTGTTGAAGAATATGAGGTATTTTATATAAAAGAAACCCTACCCGGTGAAGAATTTTTACACATGAAAAAAAAACTATCAAATTCTTTTTTTAAAAAAAATCACCACCCAAAAACCACCAAACTTACCTGGTTAAAGAAAGGTGAAAGCTTGCAAATGGATCATCTATGGAAGAAGATGAGGTAGAGGCTTGTAAATTGATCCTCTCATTGAAATAGGACACAGGGGGTTAAGAGCGAGTGGCAACGGTGGCTATGTGAGAGGGGCATTGGAGAGAGAGTGGCGAGGGTTTTGCGATAGAGGTCCCTCGCGGCAATCTTATTTCGGGTCGGGTCCGCGTGAGTGATGTATTTCTTGGAACTTGCTGCCCGCCTTACCAATTACTTCCACACGATTTGGATCTAAGTGCATAAGGTAATCAAAAGTGGTAAAGGTTTTTATGCTGGGAAAGCTTTCTATGTTTCTCCTTCCTTATGACATAGAAGTTCTATCCTCCCTCCTATCCAACCCTCTATTTTTTAATGGAGGGTTAAGATTGCCCTAATCACAATATCACGTCTTTATACTGTTTTAATTTAAATTTTTTTTCTATAAACTGTTTTGTTATCAAATTTTGGATGTCCATTTCTCTATTAAACTGCACTAACGAAAAATATAAAATAAAATATTGTCAATAAAATAAAATAACCAAAATACCTTGAAAGTTTGGGGGCTATTTTGATCATTATTTTTTATCGAAAAACTATTGTTAATATTTTTTATAGTTGTGCCCCAGTGAAATACCAAATTTCATATTCATATAATTTGTATAAAAAAACTAAAAATGAGGTAAGAATAGATCTCCGATATGTAGGGAAGCAAGGAGATCTATTCTCACCTTACCATCTAGCCGTCCAATTTTGATCAAGAGAGCCACTAACCGTTTGATCTTAGATACGATATCTCAAAGTATTTTATTTTTAGTTTTTTTAATACAATTTTTCTGAATATGAAATTTGGTACGTGCCATCTTCTCATTGGGGCGCACCTATAAAAAATATTAACAATAATTTTTTGATAAAATATAATGACCAAAATAGTATTTTGGTCATTTAATTTTATTGAAAATATTTTTTTTATATTTTTCGTTAGTGCAAGTTTAATAGAGGAATGGACGTCCATAATTTACTGTCAAAATAGTTTATAAAAAAAATTAAAAATAAAATAGTGTAGAGACGTGATATTGTGATTAAGGCAAAATTAGGCCTTCATTAAAAAATGGATAGTTGGATAAGGGGGAGGATAGAACTTTTATGTTGTAGGAGGAACTTAGAAAGATTTTCCCATATATAT